ACTTTATGGACGGTGTAGAGGCTTGACCACTGCACTTGACCATTGCACTGAAGTACACCTGAAGCTGAAGTTGAATAATATTGTATGTCAACTATAATTTAATGTATATATAGTCATGGGATGTGAAGTATAATGTGGGAAGTGGAGTCAATGGAATTGTAATAGATATGTATGATGTTTGGGGGAGGCAGTGGATTAGGGGAGGGAGGTTGTCACTTTGTGAGGGGTGAAAAGTATAACTATTGCATTGTTTTGTACACCTGAAACTAAAAACAAAACAAACAAAACAAAAAAACATATATATATATATATATATATATATATATATATATATATATCCAGCAGTTGGGTGGGGGGGATGTGGTATATATGTGTATTATATTATATATAATATATATAATGCATATATGTGCCACAACTTCTTTGTCCAATTGCTGGATATATATAATGTATGTTATATGTATATTATGTATATAAAATATATATGATATATGTAAGTGTTACATGTTATACATGTTATATATAATATATGTATAATATGTATGTTATATGTAGTGTATTATATGTGTTATATGTAATATCTACAACATCTTCTTTATCCAATTGCTGGATATAGATATAGATAGATATAGTTATAGATGATATAGATATAGATATAAATAATGGGACATTTCTCAGCCATAAGAAAAGATGAAATATTGCCATTTGCAACAACATGGATGGATGGATCCTAAGATTATCATGCTAAACAAAATAAGTCAGACAGAAAAAGTCGAGAACCATATGACTTCACTGATATGTGAGATATAAAACTGAAAGCAACAAGCAAACAATGCAAACAAACAAACAAAAACTCATAGACAGAGACAACAGTTTGGTGGTTATCAGAGGGTAAGGGTGGAGTGGGGGATGGCTGAAGAGGGTAAATGGAGGTCAAATATATGGTGATAGAAGGAGAATAAACTCTGGGTAAACACACAATGCAATATTTAGATGGTGTATTATAGAATTGTACACTTAAAGCCTATATAATTTTACTAACCAATGTCACCCAAATAAATTTAATAGAAATGAACAAAATTGTAAACAGTGAATGACACTAGCATTCACTGATTAACACCATCTTTAATGTCATACTACACATTAAATTACTACTGTAATTCAATTCAACTTCAAAAAGTAATACATAGATAATGTCTCTTAAAATGTGTACATTTTTTGGCACCCCTGGTATATATAGATATCTATATATCTATATCTATATGTTTTTAATGCATGAAAGATTTAATAACTTTGAAAAATCTTTTAAAAAATGAAGTAGGTTTATGACCCAGAAATTTCACCCCAAGGTATATACCCAACAGAAATATGTATATATGCTCACCAAAGACATGTATTAGAATATTTGTAGAAACTTTATTTCTAATAACTCAAAATTGGAAACTATCCAAATGCCCATCAATGGTTGAATGGATAAGTTGTGTCACATTCACACAATAGAACACTAAAAAGCAATGAGAATGAATTAACTAAAATCATACACAACCACATGAATGAATTGCACAAACTTGATGTTGAGTGGAAGAAGTCAATCACAAAAGAGTACATTCTGTGTGATTCTATTTATGTAAAGTACAAAAACAGGCAAGACTAATTTATATTGTTAGAAATCAGGATGATGATTATCCATGGGGGAAAAGTTGAAGACTTAACAAGTGAGGTATTTCTGGGCATTGCTAATGATGGTTTTTGATCAGGATGCTGGTGTTTTGTGTGCATTCAGTTCGTGAAAATTTAGTGAATTGTACACTTATGAACTTTTCCTGTATGTATATTAAACTTTAATATAAACATTTTTTAAAAAGTCGAGTGGGAAGGTGTAGAAGGATGGGTGTGGATGACATGTACGCCTAATGTACTTGAGAATCACTGAAGAGGCCAATGTGGTTGGAGCTGGATGATCAAGTGGGAGACTAGAAGGAGATGAATTCAGGGAGGTAATGGGGACCACGTTATGTAGGGCCATGTAAAATTTTGATTTTCCCTCTGAATTAGTGGTTGTTAACCTCTTAAAAGTCTCTCCTTAGGAATCTTTTTAGATTTTATTTTCCTAATTGCTAACCTTCCATAAAATTTTAATACCATAGATATAACATATTTGTTTATGTACTGTGGCCCTTTGGAAGGCCACAGACCATTGTAATATCTGCACAAGAGAAAGAGTGAAGAGAATTTCTAGGGTGATGGCCTTGTGAAGGTGAGAAAGGATAGGGTCTAGCAAAGGGTTAGATAAGACTATAGACAGTTAATCCATGGTAAGAGATGGGCAGGCTGATAATATGGATACAGATGCTGTTAGGTGGATAGACTGTGGGTGGAGGAGTCTGTGAAATTTTTTCAGAAGTGGGACCCATGATCATTGCCTGAGAGAGAGGATGAGATAGGGTATTTGGAGTTTGAAGACAGAGATTCAGGTGTGCAATGGTCCGCCTTGGGTGAATGGCTGAGAAAGCCTGGATGACAAGGTCACTGGTGGGGAGCAGCTTCCAGAACTGAAATGCCATGTGTTGAAAGGTTCACCTACATGGATTTTGAAGTTGCTGAGTGTTAGGACAGGTATTGAATTGGAGAGATTGAGTCAGGAGCCGACATTGTTTAGAAGTGAAAGGAAGGACATGGTGGCTGACAGATAGCAGGAGCTACTTGCAGTGGGATCTGAAAGACCATGAAAAATTATTAGTTTGACTTCCACTCCTGGTCAAAAATGTGGATCTGGAAGTGAGGCAGGTGAGGGTGGGCAAATGTGATCTCAGAGGAGTAGCAGAGGACCAAGGCCAGGGCCAGCCAGTCAGTGACAGCTAAGTGACTAAGCTGACTGGGAGCTAGGGTGAGGAGGGGCTCTTTTCCTGGCTTCATTAGAAGGTGAGTGTGCATTGGTTGGGGCAGGCATTTGTATTTAAAGGATCCTGGTGGTAAAATGAAGATGTATAAATTCCCAGAGCTGCTAGTGCACATGACCCCATGGGGATTAAATGAATGGGAGTCCAGTTGGTTCATTGGCACCACTGTGGACTTATTAAATACCATTTTCTTGCATTTGTGGAGGAATAGCTCTATATTACTTGTGTTTGATACTATCAACTCATCCTCTATTCAGTCCCTGAAATCTCAACTTAGAGCTGCTATTAGGAACCTCCAAGCTAAGAACATGTTCATAAACTGGAGCCATATTGTCTCAAAATTAGACAAAACAAAAGCAAATAAAACAAAATTCAGGTCTACAAACATAATTTCCATCTATCTCTTTTCCAGATAACTCTCCCTCCCCTTCATCCACACCTCCCCTTCATCCAAACCACCCACAAGAGGTAGTAAGGCAGCCAAATTTGGTGGCCACTGCAGAAAGAGGGAGAGGGGTGAGAAACAAGGAAGGGGCTGAGTAAGAAACCAGAGCTGGGCAGGCTGAGTGGTGCATTGGTTAAGAGTTGGCTAGGGATGCCAGCTCTGAGCAGCAGGGCCCCAGTTCGGATCCCACATGAGGGCCAATGACACTGCCCTCTACAGCTAAGATGGTGAACAACAGCTCGACTTGGAGCTGGGCTGTCATGAGTTGCGGGCAACAGCGTAGGCTACAGTGGGGCTGGCCGGCAGCGGGTGAGAGCTGCCGTGAACGACCATCCAATGTCTGGTGAGCGACTGCCTCACCCGGGAAGAGCACAGTAATAATATCAACGTGGGCCAGTGAAGCCACGTCCTCCACAACTAGACAGAAGAACAAAAGGACAGCAACTTGTCTGTTCCCCTTCTCCCGATTCCCCAGCGCTATTCCCCTCCCCCAATTCCTCAATAAAATCTTTAAAAAAAAGAAGAAAGAAACCGGAGCTACATATAGCAACAGGAATAAATCTCAAAATCATATTGAAAAAAATTGCAGAAAGAGATATTTTGTTGTTCGTCAAGCAAAGACAATCATATTATATATAAGTACATATACACACATCTTTTGTGTGTATACGGGAATATACATTTATGTATATATTCGATGGATACATTTTAGGGTTGATATAGAACTTATATGAAAATCATAAACATCATAATGGTTATCTGGAAGAGATTGAAGGGAGAGCAATTGAGGATATATTTCATTTCTTTACACAAATCTGAGCTGTGTATAGCAAACTACAAATTGATAGAGCTGGGTGGTGGGCATTTTGTTGTTATTTTCTTACACTTCTCTGTAAGTTGAAATTTTCATAAATAAAATATATACCTACACCTTTACTTTTGTAGATATTATTGCTTTTCTATTATTTTTGTCTTTGAATTTTTACAATGAGTAAGTTTAAGAAAAAACAGTAAGTAAAACATAGTGTAAACACGATATGTATATGACAAAATCATGTGAAATTCCTAGTACATGACTGGAGGTTGTGAAATACCCATACAGTTTTCACTGTCCCTTTTTTTACTCCAGGTGATTCAGAGTCTCAAAACCAGATTGAAGTTTTATCAACAATAACAATTGGTCGTTGTTTTGGCATATTTGTATTCTTTTTCTTTTGATTTGATATCCCAGCTCTCTATTCTGCCTTATATTATTTCATCTTATGTATTTCAGGGCACTGGGCACTGACACATGCTGAATCCCGCCCTGACTCTTGCGGACCTCAGTCACCTCTTCATTATCCTCTGGAATAACCCATGCTGACACTCTCAAGTAGATGCCCTCTCCTCCCTCATGCCCAAACATTGTGGAAACATTGTGGACTTACAATATATCAATAAAAACACTACAATGAACACCAAATACACTTTTATGAAAATTTGCAAGTGAATGACAAAATGTAAGTTCTTTCACTGATGACTTTTGGGTATGGTGAATTATTATCTAAAATAATTGTGAAAGAGGTCATTAGTGCAAAGACCCAAAGGTGTCCTTGGTATCCCCAAATAGAATTTACCCGCTTACGGGAAGCTGCAATGATTTCAAAGTCCAGAAAGTGAGACTCTAAACTCTGCGGGAAACCTAGGGCTTAGAAAGGTGAATTTAGACACAGGGCCTGAAATAGTTTTCAGTATCCGGCAGAACAATGTACCTCTCTTAGAAAGTTACCAGAGTTAACAAACTCTTTATAATTGGGAGGGGCTATTATAAACATTTATCATTTTATGCTCCACCTGGGTCTCTTGTTCATACTGGATATTTCAGAGCAGAATCTAGACTGCCATGGGTCCATTCATGGTGCAATGCAAGGGGCACAAGATTCTGATTGTGGGGTTGATTTTTCTGGTCTGGGTGAGTACTATCCTTGCCTCTGCTCCCTCTCATCGCTGGTTCATTTGTTCTCTCATTATGTAACCACAAGTTTGGATTGATTACTGCCTTAATCTGGGAGAGGGGCCTGAGGGAGCTTTCAATCTCCTCTCTGCCCTTCGGTTACTCCAACATCAGCAATTGCAAGGTGGGATGTCATCTGTAGGAGGATGGTGAGTGGTTGGGTGTTGGGGTCTATGAGGGAATTAGAAACACAAACCTGGAAGAGATTGCTCAGGGAAACCCCAGTGGGGAAAAAAATAAGCAATTCACATTATTCTTATCCCTCTCACCCTTTCTTTCTTTCTTTCTTTCTTTCTTTCTTTCTTTCTTTCTTTCTTTCTTTCTTTTTTAAGATTTTTATTGGGGAATTGAGGGATGGGAACAGACAAGTTGCTGTCCTTTTGTTCTTCAGTCTAGTTGTGGAGGACTTTGCTTCACTGGCCCAAGTTGGCACCATTATTGCGCTGTTCCCGGGCAAGGCAGATCGGTCATCGGCTTCTGGACGGCCACTCACAGTGGCTGCTGGCTGCTCACGCTGGCTGCTGGCTATATACGGTAGCTTATGGCAACCCACTGCAGCAGGGGCTGCAGCCTATGCCATCGCCAGCAACTCACAGCAGCCCAGCTCCAGGTTGAGCTATTGTTCAGCATCTTAGCTGTGGAGGGCAGTGTCACTGACCCTCATATGTGGGATCTGAACCGGGGCCCTCTGGCGTCCCAAGCGAGCTCTTAACCAACACACCACTTGGACGGCCCTCTCTCACCCTTTCTATTGAAGTGTAAGAGGAAGAGATAGAAGTTTATGGTGCCCAGTCCTGCTTTTTAGCACAGAGAAAAAGAGGCAGGGATTCAGCAAAAAAAGATTTCTGTCTGGAAAGAGTGGGCAATTGGCTAGAGGGACCTTTGTTGTGTCATTTGGGAACTCAGCGAAGGTGAAAAGGTAAGAATACGACCAGGAGAAGGCTTTTCCCTTTTTGTCCATAGGTCAAAACTGGAGTTGTGGTGCTTAATGTAGCTATAGATGCATGTTGTTTGGCCTGTTTCAATTCAGGATTAAAACAGTTAAGTGGATTATTGGTATTTATTTATTTATTTATTTATTTATTTATTTATTTATTTATTTAGATTTTTATTGGGGAATTGGGGGAAGGGGAACAGACAAGTTGCTGTCTTTTTGTTCTTCAGTCTAGATGTGGAGGACGTTGCTTCACTGGCCCAAGTTGGCACCATCATTGCGCTCTTCCCGGGCAAGGTAGATCAGTTGCTGGCTTCTGGATGGCCGCTCACAGCAGCTTAAGGGCCACTCACGCTGGCTGCTGGCTACACACGGTAGCTCATGGCAACCCACTGCAGTCATGTGCCACTCATGGCAGCCCAGCTCCAGGTTGAGCTGTTGTTCAGCATCTTAGCTGTAGAGGGCGCAGCGTCACTGGCCCTCATATGTGGGATCCGAACCAGGGCCCTCTGGCATCCCAAGCGAGCTCTTAACCAATGCACCACTCGGCCGGCCTGGATTATTGATATTTAATATTAAACAGTGGGAGATTTCATATGAAAATATGGATTTCTGGTCTCTATGAAAAAGCAGTTGACCTGGCAAGATAGGTTCATAATTGGTCTTTATTCTAAGAGCATGAATGAGTTTGGCACAGAAACCCTAATCCCTTAATAACCAGGTGCAAATAATGTGTTCGTTTCATTTCCAGAATAACCTTTCATTGTGAGAGAGTGAGACATCTTGGTGCAGCAGCCAAAACGTTCCACATTTAAAAAAAAAAGTTGAGGGTCAGCCGAGTGGCTCAGTTGGTTAAGAGCTCGCTCAAGAGTTTGAGCTCTGAGCAACAGCGGTTCCGGCCCGAGCTGAGCAGCCGCTGAGCTTCCAATAGGTGGCAGGATGGCTCAGCTAAAAAAAAAAAAAAAAAAGTTGAATTATACATAAAAAATATACAAATCATAGTGATGCAGGATGTTTTATGTATTGACGCTGGGATCTTGGTGTCACAGTACCGAAGAATGGAGACAGGGACCAGAGAAGCAAAGTTGCAGAAAAGGACAGTTTATTAAAGCAAAGAGATACAGCTCTCTAAGTGAGAGGGGGCATCTGGAAAGTTGGAATACCTGCTGACTAGGAGCTCGGGAGGCTTCTGTTTATATGCTTTAACTAGCCTATCTGGGGAGAAAACTGGCTCCTGCTTCAACGGGTTAGATTTATTTCGTTGGCTGTTTCAGCCTGGAGGAGCCTTTTTAGGATAGTTTTAGTTGGCTCAGGATGTAATTGATGTCCCTGGTCAGGAAGGAGTAAATTGTCTCAGGGCTGTGGCTTTTTGGGGTCAGGGCTGAGAGCAGGGGTCTTGGAGATATGTTTATTTTCTGCTCATCCTACCCGGGAATTTCTAACTGCCTAGTTGTTACACTAAGTAACCTGTCTTAATAGTGCTCAACTAAATAAAAGATGACAGACCCGCATAATCATCACTCAAGTCAAAAAATAAAAATCATCGGTACACCCAGAAGCTTCCTCTTTTGCCTCCCTCTCTGTCACTACTACCCTCTCTTCTTTTCAACTATAAACATTATAGTTTATTTTTGCATGATTTTACATTTTATAAAAATGCAATCATACACTATGGACTCTTTTATGTGTGTCTACTTTCATTCAATATTTTTGTGAGGCTCGTCTATATACACATTTGTGTGTGTGTGTCTGTGTATGTACATATATATTTGATGGATACATTTTAGGGATGATATAGAACTTATATGGAAATCATAAACATCATTATAGTTATGTGGGAGAGATTAAAGGGAGAGCACCTGAGGAAGTATTTTGTTGTAGCGTAAGGCTATTATTTGTTAATTTTCACTTCCTTCTAGTACTCCAGTGTATGAATATATGACAATATATTTACCCATTCTACTGTTGATGGACATTTGGTTTTTTGGTTTTCTGGGGTTTGTTTGTTTGTTTTTTTGCTATTTTAAATATAGCTCAATGCACATCTGCATGTCTTTCTGTTGGATATACAAGATAAATTGCTACGTCCTCAGGTATGCACCCATTAAATTTTAGTACATACTGCCAAATAGTTTTCCAAAGTGGTTTTCACGATTTATGCTCTCACCAGCACGATCTGAGAGATTCAGTTGCTTCAGATCCTCAGTAACCTTGGTATTGTCTGTCGTTTGGTTGTAGCCTTTCTTTGAATATGTAAAGGTATTTCACTGTGGTTTTAATTTGCATTCCTTTTCTTACCAATTTAGCTGAGCACCTGTTCACATATTTATTGGTCATTTGAATTTTCTCTGTTGTAAAGTGCTATTAAAGTATCTGCTATCCATTTGTAATTGACTTGTCTGTTGTTCCTTATTAATTTGTAGAAATTCTTTATAGATTTTGGATACAAGTTCCTTCATTTGTTGTGCATGTTGCAAATATCTTCTCCAGCTTTGTGTCATGACACTCTAATAGTGTCTTTTGATTAAAAGAAATTATTTTTAATTTTTAAATTTTATTTTATTGTGATAAGAACACTTAACATAAGATCTACCTGCTTAACAATTTCTTAAAGTATACAACACGGTATTACAGGTATAGTGTTGTACAGCAGATCTGTAGCACTTAACTCCTCTTGCTTAACTGAAACTTTCTACCCGTTAATTTGTAACTCCCCATTTCTCCCTCTCCCTAGCTCCTGGCAAACACCATTCCACTCTTCCATTCTATAAATTTGATGATTTTAGATACGTCACATAAAGGGAATCAATCATGCGATATTTGTCTATTGTGACTGGCTTCTTTCACGCAGCACAGGGAGCTGTGCACAACAACCAGGAGGAGGAGCTATGGTAACCGTCGTGGTGTGGAATTAACCCCTGGTCATTCACAAAATGTGAAAGCATTCACAGACTCTAAGAAGGAAATTTTTATTAAAGTTAGAGCAGAGAGAGAATGCCCATGGCTGTGTCCAAAGATGACTGCTGCCGCGGTTAACACCAGCGGGAGTGCGGGTGTCGCCGGGGCAGAGTCCAGAGCCTGAGAGTGGGAAACTGCACTAACTTCAGGTTAACTTTTTCTTATAAAGGAAAGGGGGAGTTGGTTAGGCAGGTTTGAGAGCTGACATCTTTCCTGGGATCTGGTCTGTTTGAAGATGGTGTTATTGTTAGACTTGGCAGAGGAATGAGTCAAGGGAGAACAAAATTGGTCTATTAGCATTTATTTGGAGTGTTTGAGCTGTGGGAGGTCAGGCTAGAAAAGACCTGAAGTTTTATAGGAGGGGGTAAATGGCTCTGTTCCCCCTTCAATGCTTCAGGGTCTTTTTTGTAGCATTGTCTCTGACTACAAAGGGTTTTGGGGCATGACCAAGCCCTCCGGTTCCACATTCTGGCCCCCAGGTCACCATCTGGACTGCCCAGGCCTGCTGATCATAAGCCCCTAGGAGACTAACACAAGCCGGCAGGTAAAAAGTACAAAGCACAAAGCAAGACAAGATGATACTTAGGATAAGATGGTTTCTACATTCCAGGCAGCTTCTCCAGGCCTAAGGCAAATACCAGTTGGCAGGTTCAAGGTACAAAGCAACACAAAAAGGCTTTTTTTTAAGATACAGAAGGTTTCTGCTCCTGGCCTAATTATGGCCTAACAGTTATCTCCAGACTCCAGACTTGGCCATGGAGGCCTGGGACTTTAAAGTGTCACCAGTAAAAGCTGCAAGGGAATTGTAAATTGGATTCCAGTGTCCCAGTGCCAGAGAATTAAGAAATTGCTCCTTCCCAGGTTAGTATGTTGTTAATTAATAAGGTTTGGGTAGCCTTGAGAAAGGGAACAGCGTTCCTCAATCAGTGAGAAGAGAAACAAGGAGAAAACAGATGAATATCAGGATGGATCAAACTGCAAAGTTTCGCTACAGGTGGTTAGATAGCAAGCTATGCAGTGAGTTAAACTGCAAACTAGCTAAGTTTAAATGCATTATTGATTTCCTGAATTTCACCCTTACAGTAACTACTAGCCTAAACTAGTGGTCCTTGCTCTCCCCCAGGCAGCTAAATTGTACTGGTCTCATTGTTACCGGAAAGCAGGCCCTCCTTGGAGGTGTCCAGGTTCTTGGCTACTCGAGCAAAGAATTGAACGAGATAGCGAGGTAAAGTAGTGAAAGAGCAGTTTATTAGAAGAAAAAGTACACTTCAAAAATAGAAGCTCAAAGGCCCAAAGGGCCAAGGGCAAGGGCCAGGGCCAAGGGCATCATTATTAGGAGTAAAAAGTACACGCCAAATAGTTTGGAGTGGACCGAGCAAAAGAAGGAGCTCAAAAGGTGCTGACTGGCCAGGAGTTCGACTTTTTATCCTTTTTTTCTCTAGAATGGACTGTTCCTCTCGGGGCATGGGACCACTTGATTGACAAGAGGCTATTACCTCATCTTTTTAGACTGCGCATGTTCCTTCCCAGAGTTCAGTCTGTTATGATGTTAATGAACTTCCGGGCATATGTATGATATTATAATGATGGTATAATGAGGGTTGTTGTGGCCTTTACTGCACAGGTGTAAGTGAATTACAGTGAGAAGGAGAAGCTTCAGGCAGAGAGGGGAGGCCACTCAGGCGGTTGCATCCTGTGGGTGATGTTAGATATGCAGGAATGCAGAGACCCAATGCCTATCTCTAACTGCCTTGTTTTCCCCTTGAGAGACATGATCCCCATAAAATCTCTATGGGAAGTTAAGGGACAGGAGGTCTTTTCTTCTGTATCTGCTTCCTGCTGGGCAGGGGCGTGGAGCTGTCCCTTCCTATTAGGGGATTCACGGATCTCACCCTATCTGATCTTAGATGAGAGAAAGGGGTCTCGAGATCCACCTGGAAGACCGCATTGGCTTCTTTGGAGAGGAAGCCATTCTAATTTGTGATCTCCTAGTTCAGTGGCCCTCCTGATATTCTCCCAGCTCAGGATGAGAATCTGTGAACTGGCCCCATCAGGACCAGATATCTTACCAGGTGTACAACATCTGACAATTAAGAGTGAACTTGTTGCAATGATATTGTTAACTTTTTTTTATATCAGAGGAATTATTCATTATGAATTTGTACCAAGTGGACAAACAGTTAACCAAGTTTACTATTTGGAAGTGCTGAAAAAGCTTCATGAACAAGCTAGACGAGGGCCGGCCGAGTGGCACGATGGTTAAGAACTGGCTTGGGATGCCAGAGGGCCCCGGTTCGGATCCCACATATGAGGGCCAGTGACACTGCCCTCCACAGCTAAGATGCTGAACAACAGCTCAAACTGGAGCTGGGCTGCCGTGAGTCATCGGCGATGGTGTAGGTTGCAGCCCCTGTGGCAGTGGGTTGCCATGGGCTACCGTATGTAGCCAGCAACCAGCGTGACTGGCCAGCAGCCGCCGTGAGTGGCCGTCCAAAAGCCGGTGACTGATCGGCCTCACCCGGGAAGAGCGCAATGATTGTGCCAACTTGGGCGAGTGAAGCAACGTCCTCCACAACTAGACTGAAGAACAAAACAACAGCAACTTGTCTGTTCCCCTTTCCCCAATTCCCCAGCACTGTTCCCATCCCTCCAATTCCCCAATAAAAATCTTAAAAAAAAAAGAGTGGCCTCATTAAAAGACAATCCCATCACCCTTATCCCTCAGGAAATTCCAAGGGTTTAAAAAAAAAAAAAAAAGCTAGACGACCTGAAATTTTTGCCAACAATTTATGGCTCTTGCATCATGACAATGCACCAGCTCACACGGCACTGTCTGTGAGGGCGTTTTTAGCCAGTAAACAAATAACTGTGTTGGAACACCCTCCCTACTCGTCTGATCTGGCCCTCAGTGACTTCTTTCTTTACCGTAAGATAAAGCAAATATTGAAAGGAAGACATTTTGATGACATTCAGGACATCAAGGGTAATACGATGACAGCTCTGATGGCCATTCCAGAAAAAGAGTTTCAAATTGTTTTGAAGGGTGGACTAGGTGCTGGTGTCGGTGCATAGCTTCCCAAGGGGAGTACTATGAAGGTGACCATATTGATATTTAGCAATGAGGTATGTAGCACTTTTCTAGGATGAGTCCGTGTACTTAATTATCCGCCCTCGTACTTCCACCAAGACCCCTCAGGCCTGTGTGGGCCAAGCATCCCAAAGAACCACACAGCACTGGATCTGAGCCCAGATTCTGTGATTTTGATTCCTGCTCCTCTCCAGTCCAGTGATGAGCCAGTCCTGTGAGTGTTTTCTCCTACAGCAGTCAAATCAGAGGCTGCAGCCTCAAACACACCCTTCATGTGCTGCTATGGATTTTGACACTTGTCTTTTCTGAATAACACTTGCCTGAGCAGAGGGGACTTTTGGTGAGTGTAGGTGAGTATATGATAGGCCAGGTGCATAGGCTCCGTCCGTCTCACATCCATTATCACCCCCGATCACACATAACATGGCCTCTCTCTACTGCTCTTCCTGTTTGGATCCTCACACTTCTCTGGCCTGTATTTGTGAGTTTGTGTTTCTCAGAATATGATACCAGAGAGCTCTGAGCCCTTGGAGGAGATTCTTTGTCATAGCAAATACCACTTCTTCTTAGAAAAGACTCTGCCATGTCTCAGTTCTTTTTCAAACTCACACCTGTGTCTGTGCCTTTCTATAGCTTCTCACTTTCCAATGGTTTCTGCGGTTGAATCTGAGCCCAATTAGAGAGGGAGTTCCCTAAGGGATGGTCTAACCTCCTTCTTCTATAACTCTCAGCAACATTGAGTAATGGGTTTGCTCACTCTCAACTCTGTTGGAAATTTAGGATGAAGGTGGTGGGAGAGAGGGACTAGAAAGGAAAAAGAGGACACTTAATCAGAATGCCAAGTTCTGAAAGGGAAGCAAAACTTGTGATGGGTGAGGAAAGCTAGAGATGTGACAGTTAGATGCAGACCTGCACATATCTCTATGTATGTTGCGGGGAGGGAGGAAGGGGTAGAGGGAATAAGTCTGAGATAAGGAGACAGTTGAGATCCAGAGATATAACTTCACCTTCACACAAGATGCTCCTTTCAAATAAATGTGGTAATGACTCAGACACTAGGCTGATGAGTGACAGACAGCCTGGTGCAGGCAGGACAGGACTCCTGGCAGAGGGGTCTAGCTTTGGTGAGTGGAAATTTCCTTCCAAGAAGAATGTGAAGGAAACACAAACCACTGATAGGTTCTCCTTTCTCTATCCACAGATCATCTATTTCAAGATGTCTTGGCCTGACAGCATCATCCCTTGGCCCCCAGCACCCCACCCTGCCTCTAAATCTGCCTCCAAGTCCACAGAATCTCCCTCCCTCTTGGAATCTCTCCCCCAGGAGCTTGCCAACCTCACCCACCTTCTGTACTGGCCTCTGACCCCAGGAGATAAGGAGGACTTTTTGGCCTCCACCAGCCCCCAGGCCTCCACCTACCACCTGAGGGGGCCTGCCCAGGCCAGCTATGCCCTGGGAGGCTACCTGGAGGCCATCCTTCTCGCCAGAGACCACCGGGGCAGACCCAAGACCCATGGTGGGGATCTGTTTCGGGCACAGCTGCTGGGTCCTAACTTGAAGGCAGGGGTCCCTGGGGATGTCCAGGATCTGGAGAATGGCACATACCTGCTGTCCTTCCCCCTGCTCTGGGCTGGGAAGGCCCAAGTGCAAGTGCGGCTGATCCACTCCAGCGAGGCAGTTGGGGTTCTGCAAAGAATCTGGAGAGAGAAAAAGGCCACAGTTGATTTTAAAGGGTATTTCCGGGGACCCACAGGAGATGAAGAGACTGTGATTTGCAATGTTGACCCCCAGTCAACTGGAACAAGAGGACCTACCTGCCAGTACAGGGATGTGGATTCGGGTGAGCTCTGGTTCTGTGCTCAACCCCCTACCCTGCCCTGCAACTCTTTAGTTGGGCACTCAAGTGGGCGTTACCTGAAAGTGACTACACCACATGATGAGGCCCTGCTGGCGTGGTAAGAAAACACAGAATCTGAGATGCCTGCCCCAACCCTAAGTGACACCCTTCCCTTTAAATATTATCCCTGTAACCCAATGGCCCTCCCCAGTTTACACCACTTATTTACTTATACTCTCATTCAACACATGCTTGTTGAGCACCTATTATGTAACAGACTTTTCTAAACATACATATCACAAAAAAACTGGTCCGGCTATCCCTTTAGGAAGGTTACAATTGATCTGAGATTTAAAGGAAAAATAGGAATTCTCCAGGAAAGATAAATGAAATATTCAAGGCAGAGCAAATGACCTCAGGGCAAAAGTGGCTTGAGCACTTCATTCATTTCTCTAAATTTCTGCCTACACTTAGCTTTTCATCTGAAGGTTCTTTATTTTGTTAGATCTTCAATTATTTAAAAATCTATTTTTAAAAATGTTAAAAAAAATTTTTTTTGGTCCAGAATTTTCAGTTGTTCTCAGTGTTAAGGTTGGTGTGAATACTTGGGTCTACCATATTACCAGAAAAATTAAGTCTCCATTCTATTTGTTTCTGTTGATAACTTTAATATTTGTTCCTTATGTTTTTTTCAAGATTTATTTCCTTTTTCTAATTTCATTATTCAGCACCTATTATATTATATATTAGCCAATATATCTATAAAGTTTCCCTCTGAGTATAGCTTTAGCTGTAGTCTCCAGTTTTTTTTTTTTTTAAGATTTTTATTGGGGAATTGGGGGGATGGATGGGAACAGTGCTGGGGAATTGGGGGAAGGGGAACAGACAAGTTGCTGTCCTTTTGTTCTTCAGTCTAGTTGTGGAGGACGTTGCTTCACTGGCCCAAGTTGGCACCATCATTGCGCTCTTCCCCGGTGAGGCAGATCAGTTGCCGGCTTCTGGACGGCCCTCACGCTGGCTGCTGGCTACACGTGGTAGCCCATGGCAACCCACTGCCGTGGCCAGCGACTCACAGAAGCCCAGCTCCAGGTTGAGCTGTTGTTCAGCATCTTAGCTGTAGAGGGCAGTGTCACTGGCCCTCATATGTGGGATCTGAACCGGGGCCCTCTGGCGTCCCAAGCCAGTTCTTAACCATCGCGCCACTCGGCCGGCCCTAGTCTCCAAATTTTTGTACATGGGAGCTTCATTTTATTCAGTTTTACGTGTTTTATAATTTATATAGTGATTTCCTCTTTAACTCATGAATTATTTAGGAATTATTTTTAGTTTCTGAATATAGGGTAGGGAGGAGGCTATCTTCATATTTTTTCGTAATTTTTTTGCATTATGACTAGAAATATGGTTTCTCATATTGATTCTTTGAAATTTGCTGAGAATTTATTTGTGACCCAACAAATGACTAATTTTTTGTTTGTATTCTATATTTCCTTGAAAATAATTTGTATTCTCTATTTCTTATGGATTAAATTCTGAACCTATTTGATTTAACTTGTTAAGTTTTTTATTACAAACACATATATCTTCACTACTTTTTTTGTCTGCTTAATCTATTAGTTTCATACATAGATGTATTATACTATGTTTGTAGGTTAGTAGATTTGACTACTTCTCATTGTAATTCAGGCAGTTTTCATTTTATGTATTTCAAGGCTCTGTTGTTAAGTACATTCAACTTTGTTATTGTTTTATGTTAGTGGTAAGTTATTTTTGTTACTTTCTTGCTTTTTGTTTTAAGTCCTAATTTTTACACTATGAATATTGCTATAAGAGCTTTTACTTGCTTAGAATTTGCATGGTATACCCCTTTCCTCTCTTTATATTTCAATTGTGTGTGTGTGTGTGTGTGTGTGTGTGTGTGTGTATAAAATAGTTTTAGACAAGTCTCTTGACATGCATTGTGGCAGTTGTTTAGGCATAGTTAAATAAATCATAGAAGAGACTAGATCCATGCAGATAACTAACTTTACCTAAACACAATAAACATTCCAACCAATGGGGAATGCATTGAATAGTAATAAACAGAAAAGAATATAATTAGATCTGAACCTCACTGTATATACATAAAGATCAGTGTCAGGAGGATTAAAGACCAAAATGTGAAAAAGCAACCTTAAAACTTTGAAAAGGTAATAGCACAAAATATCTTTATGATTTTGGGTTAGTAAAATATTATTTTAGACATAACAAAAGGCATAAATTATAAAATAAAATATTCATAAATTGGGTGATATCTAAATCAAAAACTTCCCCATGACAAAAACTCTCATAAACAGAGTTTAAGTCAAGATATAAGCTGGGAGATTATATCTGTAGCACACATAATTGATACATAATTAGTACTTACAATAGGAAGTAGTTATTGCATGCATCAATAACCCATCCCTGGGGCCGGCCGAGTGGCGCGTTAGTTAAGAGCTGGCTTGGGACGCCATAGGGCCCTGGTTCAGATCCCACATATGAGGGCCAGTGACACTGCCCTCCACAGCTAAGATGCTGAACAACAGCTCAACCTGGAGCTGGGCTGCCA